ATTATCAATAAACCTCGAGTAATACATACTTTTACCAATCGCTTGAGCTTAGCTCTTTGGAGATTACCCATGAAAATATTTTCTAGTAAAGGACCTAATGGAATTCCCATTGCTACACCATCAGTTTGATTTCAACTCATATCTCTCTTTATTACCATTAATCTGTTTGTTTATTTCTTCAGTTACTTCATTACACAATTATCTAATATTAGGTAACTCTATGAGTTCAGATCACACTAGTTCAATGTTCTTGAACTTGCCCTCTCAAACTATATTTATTATTTATCTGAAATAAAAATTCTCTATGACCTTATTGAACTCTATTAGAATCTTCACTACATCATGATATACATATTCATCTCAAACCACCTTTGAATGTCAATATCTGTTATTACTTTAATTTTTGAATACTACATGTTGTACGCGACTGAAGAGAATCTAAAGAAATAAAATGAATTCATACTATTGAATGTTATTCATAAAATGTAAATTTGGTTGATCATTTTGTTAAATGTTTTCACTTACTAACGCCTGTTACTTCCAATGGAGAATAGTCCGCCAACCAGCATTGTACAACCTACTCTATCTAATTCTTGTTCATTTTTCTCATGTCTATCTCCACTTATCAACGTAACGTTTTCTTTCGTTTTCCTCTTCCCCTTTGACCTTGGGGATTCCAAGTGAGGGCTTGCCTCATTGTGTGTCCTATCCACTTCGAGTACCTCTTCCTGATTTCTTCCTCCACTGGGAGATGGTTTGTTCTCTCACACAGTAGGTTGTTGCTGAAAGTGTCTGGCCAACGGAACAGAAGCATTTTGAGTAGACAACTGTTAATAATCACTTGTATCTTCTGGATAATGGCCTTCGTAGTTCTCCAGGTTTCTCCTCCTATACAGTAGAACTGTTTTGACATTTGTATTGAAAATTCTGAGTTTGGTGTTGGCTCACAGACAGCTGTTTTGAGTTGCAGATGCTCTTCAGTTGTAGATATGCTGCTCTCGCTTTGCCGATCCACGCCTCCACATCTGCATCAGATCCACTGTGTTCATCAATGATGCTGCCCAGATATGTGGAGGTTTTTACATTTTACAAATCTTCTCCGTCAAGTGTGATTTGATTGGTGCATGTTATGTTTCATCAAAGAATCTTGCTTTTCCTTTGTGTATGTTGAGACCTACTGTTATTGAAGCTGCTGCTACACATTCAGTTAAATAATAAAAAACATTTAGCAACATGGATGTTTACAGTTATGAACTTAAAACCAAACATTTCTAAAATAGAAAATAAATGTGTACTTGGGGTGGTTAGTGCGGATTAGATTAAAATGATGTACAATAAACCTTTTATGATACTGATACGAAAATGTTAGTTCCTTTAGTTTGCAGTGAAAATAATGATTATTTCCGTACTTACTTACTTACTCATGTTACTCCTCGTGGAGAAGTATAGGCCGCCCACCAACACTCTCGATTCAACCCTGTCCTGGGCAATCCTTTCCAGCTCTTTCCAGTTGTTATCCATCCTTTTCATATCTGATTCCAACTCCCAACGTAGTGTGTTCTTCGGTCTTCCATTTTTCCACTTCCCTTCAGGATTGTAAATTCAGGCTTCCCTCATGATGCAGTTTAATGGTTTTCCTAATGTATTTCCTATCCACTTCCAACGTCATTTCCGAATTTCCTCTTGATCTGTAAGTCGGTTTTTCCTCTCCTACAGATGGCTAGTGAAGATGGTATCCGGCCAATGGATGTTGAGTATCTTATGTGGACAATTATTTATTAATACTTGTACCTTCTTGATGATGGTTGCTATAGTTCTCCAAGTTTCAGCTCCGTGTAGTAGAACTGTCTTGACGTTTGTAATGAAGATTGTGACTTTGATATTAGTTAACAGTTATTTTGAGTTTCATATGTTCTTCAGTTGTAGGAATGCGACCTTTGCTTTGTCAATCATCACCTTTACGATTGCATCAGATCCTCCATGTTCATAGATGGTGCTACCTAGTTACGTGAATGTTTCCAATTGTTCCAGAGTTTCTCTATCAAGTGGGATTGTGTTGGTTGGTGTTGTCCGTGTTGTGTTTGAGGATCTTGCTTTTTCCTTTGTGTGTGTTGAGGCATACTGATACAGAGGCTGCTGCTACATTAGTTGTCTTTATCTACATTTGTTCGTGTGTATGGGATGGGTAGGGTAGGTCATCTGCGAAGTCTAAATAGTCTAATCGATTCTGAGTTGTCCATTATATTCCGTGCTTTCCATTATTTCAGTAGTAAAACATTTATTGTCATAAGTCTCACCTGAAAGCATTCGTTCATCAACATACTATACACGAAACCAGTATTCACTATTCACTAAATCTATTTACAGAACGAAGAATTAACAATATTAAATAGTTCGTAGAGATGTTTTGGAAGTTTGGAAGTTGATTTCATCATGAGCTGATATCAGTCGTAGTGCCAATAATAACCTGAGTGTACCAGGTAGTTACTTCATTGGAATTCAAAACTACTCCGTAATGTACACTTTCATTAAACGGTGGCAAAAGTTACTTGTAGAATTAAAATGTACTTAACAATTATTTTTTAATTGTTTAAGAAATATATTTGTGATTATGCTATTCAATTATGTAATAATTTTAGTTGTAAGTTATAACCATTTCTGGTTCGAATCCCATTTCACCTACTATAATCTGAACGGGCTGTTGGGTCGGCTTCCGGAATCGTATATAGCGTTCAACCTATACGACTTATCACGGGCAAAAATTGATATAACTTAAAGTCGAGAGTACTGGATCCAGACATAAATTGCTTTACATTCATGTTATTCATTTATTTGAAACAGGTTAAATTCAACATTGTACTCACTGAAGTTTTGTTAAGGGATGTGGAATATAAGTTACAACAGTAGTCTACATTTCCATTGTACTACTTCAAATGGAAATGTGTTAGATGTTTCGTATAAACATACACGTCTTGATTAATCATAAATGATCTGTGATTATTGGAGCTAAAGTGTGCTGGATGTGAGGGAGTCACCAAATGAAGGGAATGGAAATGGTCGCTCAATGTCGTAAAATGATTAAAGTTGGACATTAAAACCATCTAGAAGTTAATCGTTCATATGCGGGACCGAAGGTTCTGCATTCATGTGGGTTTGTGGATGGTAGTCTAAAAGTAGATTGTCACTCCGTAATCTGATTGGTATTATGGTAGTTACCAAATATGACGTTTCTGATTTCGATCCTATGTTCCATGATTTACAAAATGGCTATATCGATTTATAATGAACATAATTAATATTAAAGGGAAGTCTCAACATACCATACAAAAAATAAATTTAACACATAAATTGTGTCCAACATGAAGTAACAAAACAGTTACCTACATTTAGTTCGACGATATGATACTAATTGTGTACATGTTTATCTGAAACGCAACTGGTGAAAAGTTAGAGCGACAATTACACTTACAATTTTTCAGATTACAGTAATATTTGATCTTAGATAGACATTAAAAACTGTATATATCATTCTAGTATAAGATATTTCAGTAGTGGGTATCCTTTACTTATTTATTTGTTATCTCATTAGATTTGTGTGAGGGCTGGTATACTGCTCGGGTGCCCAGACCGAAGTAGGTGGTTCTCATAGGGGGCCACACCTGGAGCCTTCGACCTAAAGGTCTGATCCACAAGTTAGTGGAGGAATGTAAGGAGATGTAATCTCATGGTAGCCGGTGACCAATAATTGGTTCATACGCTGTTTGTTCCCTAAGGATACTAAAGGCCATGTGCATCATTGGTTTGAAACCAGGGTTTTCCAACTCCCCTAGATGAACTTACCGGTCCGTTTAAAGAGCCGGACATTCGCTTTTCATCCTCTCATTATCGTAAACAACACCCTCGCCAAGAGAATGCAGTGAGTAGGATTTCCCTGGCAGAGGCTATATGCACGTGGCCATGTGAGAGTATTTCGAGAGAGAGAGAGAGAAAGAGAGAGCGAACTTTCTCCACTCTCGGCCGTATCATAACATTCGGGGGAAAGTATCCACTATCCTACTAATGATCAAACCAAGATTCTCAAGTCACATAGTGAACGTTTAACATTTAAAAAAGAAAATCATTATAATCAAATTTCTCAAACAAACAAAAAAAAGAAATGAAATGAAATGAAGAAATGGATAAGTAAACATTCATATGAACTAATTTTAGTTTAAAATTATAAGGTGTCTAGTAAATAAATAATTTGGAAATCAAATTGGTTGAACAGTAACCGTGATTGGTAACAACAATATGTTACATTTTGTTAGTTTGTATATGGATCATGTCTTAAACTTTACATGTGTATATACATATATATATATATATAGATATATATATTGACATGTTTTATGTACTTAAGTGAAATTCATGTGCATGTGTTTGTGTGTGTGTAGTTTTGTGTATATTTGTCCACAGTAGAGTTACATGAACTATTACTACGGAAAGAATCCCTCATAAATTAATCGATTAGTTAGTTCAATCTTAAGAAAAATGCCAAACTATTTTCTTCAAAAGTATATATATATATAACAAATCAAAAGGAAAGAAATATTCAATGAAAGGCGGACATGTTGTTCTGTTGTTATTCGTCTTAGAAACAACTATAATTATTGTTATTTGTTGTTATTGTGGTAATCACTGGGAGAGAGAGGAAAAGAGCGCGCGCGAGAGAGAGAGAGAGAGAGGGGAAGAGATGAACAGAAAACAAAACAAAAAAAGAATAACCATGAAAAGAATATATTCTTCACCTGTTTACATACTGATTCATTGTGACATCAATGATTTCTTTTCATAATCTATTCAATGATTATCAGCATAATTCTATAATGATATTGAATTCTTTTTTCAATTACTCCGATGATTATTATTATAAAAAGTATTTTTTGACTGATTGATTGATCGATTAATTGATTGATTGATTAATTAATTGAAAGATAAACAAGGTGACAGAAATATTTATTATGATGTCAGGAAATTATACATCATCATCATCATCACCATCACCATCATCATCATCATTACCATCATCATCACCATCATCGTCTAATCAATGGATAGGAAATAAATCATTCTATATACGTGATAATACTAATCCAACCTTACAACATATCATAGAAAGTTGTAATTATGAACCATTTTTTAATTATAACACTAGACTAACTTCAAAATCATATCATCATTCACAAAATCGTTATGATACATTGTATCATTCGAAACAACAACAACAACAACAACAACGGCAAAATGATGCATTCAATTGTAATATGCCAAGAATTGTATTATCCCCGCCGCCACCGCCACCGCCACCGATTCAAAAATCAATTAGAAATTATCAACCTATGAATGAAACATATTGTATACCTAAACGATCATATTCACCATTAATTATTCAAAATAAATTAGAAACAGAAAAACGAAATCATTCTTATTATAAATCAATGATAAAACAACAAAATCCATATCATCCTATTCAATATACAAAATCATCAATACAAATGATCCCGGAAACAATATTATCAATGAATCGATTAAATAAAAATCCAATCAATCAACATAGATCACAATTGAATCCATGTTTATCATCCCATAGATCAAGTCAACTAAATGAAACTCAATTTAAACCATCTTTGAATGTATTCAACTCAAAAAGAATAATATTACCAGAGATACCTCATAATTCTATAATAAATACAAGTCATATAATGAATCCACAAGGAAGAGCTCATTCACCTATAAAATGTAATGTATTAGAGAATAATAATAATAATAATGAACCGGATATTTGGAATATTGGTTCATCAACTGGAATTGGACAATCAAAATCTCGAACAATTAGATCATCATTATCTAATCAAAAATATAAATTATTCAATTCATCAAAACAACAATTAACTCTATATCATGATGATATGAATATGAATCTAATGAATTCAGATAATGGTAATAGTCTAATTAATACAGATGATGAAACTGTTTCATTAAATACAATAGATGATCATTATGAAGAGAATATGAAATTATTAAATAGATATTCAAATTCATTAAAACAATTTCATGGAAATAAATATGAATTAGATGGTTCAACTAAAACATTGATTCCATCTAATCAATTACATTATCCACTTAGTACTTCATGTAAATCATCAATACATTGGAATAAAAGTCAAACTACTCATTTATTGAATCAAAACTTGATTGTAAGTATAGTTCATTAGTTGATCTTTCAATGATATATTATTGATTTATGCATGAATAATAATCTGTTATGTCGGTGTTACTATGTTAAGCCCATATTACCACCTTATTCTAGGTTTCGGACAGATCATTCTATTCATTCTACTTGAGTTACATTCTGATCTTGTTATTTATTCGCTTATCAATCTTGACTGTTTTTATATAAGCGCAGTAGGTGTGCGTACATTTCTTATCCCATTACTCATCACATATCTGTAACTTACTTTTGTGTAACTATAAGTATTGATTAATGCTTGGTTAAAAGGGAGTTGGCTTACCAGCCATCTCCACTCAGTGTCGTTTCTCTTATCTCCATCCCATTCGCTTTATATTACTTACTTACTTACGCCTGTTACTCCTAATGGAGCATAGGCTGCTGACCAGCATTCTCCAACCCACTCTGTCCTGGGTCCTTCTTTTCTAGTTCCATCCAATTCTTGTTCATTTTTCTCATGTCTATTTCCATTTCTTGGCGTTATGTGTTCTTTGGTCTTCCTCTTTTCCTTTGACCTTCAGTATTCCATGTGAGGGCTTGTCTTGTGACGCAGTTGGGTGCTTTCCTCAATGTGTGTCCTATCCACTTCCAGCGCTTCTTCCTGATTTCTTCCTCCACTGGGATCTGCTTTGTTCTCTCCCACAGTAGGTTGTTGCTAATAGTGTCCGGCCAATGGATCTGAAGTATTTTGAATAGACAACTGTTAATAAACACTTGTATCTTCTGGATGATGGTTTTCGTAGTTCTCCAGGTTTCCGCCTCATACAGTAGAATCGTCTTCACATTTGTATTGAAAATCCTGACCTTGGTGTTGGTTGACAGTTGCTTTGAGTTCCAGATGTTCTTCAGTTGTAAATATGCTGCTCATGCTTTGCCGACCCGCGCCTTCACATTTGCATCAGATCCACCCTGTTCATCAATGATGCTGCCCAATTCGCTTTATATACAAAATATATATGTATTCACAAGTCTATTCTCGTTATTCGACATATTTAATTCCATTATTGACTAACGCGATTTAAGTCGATGATTATATACGAGGACAAGCGATATATATATATTTCAATAACAAACATTCATTACGATCTTCTTGGAGTCAGATCCACGGGCCACTAAAGTGAAGAGCCCGTCAACAAACATTGTCCGATCTAAACGACAAAATATTTAAAGCAATTAGTCCCTTTTATAAATTTCGATAGAACAATGAGATTAACTTCGTCTTATTGTTCTATCGAAATGACAAAATAATGGGCCCTACTAAAAATCAAAAGTGGTTCTCGTCATTAATTGATATGAGTTGAAAAGGTTCAAGAATAACTCATATCATCATATGGAGTATACGGTCTAAAGAATATAAGTCTTGTAGATTTTAGTGATTCTTCATATGAGATCAGTTTATGATAGAAACTATTATCAAATGAGTTGTCGATAATGAATATTTGACCAATTAAAAGAAGGGTATTTTAATGGCTCTTAATCCGACTTCAATTCGATCGTATGAATGATTGTTATTGAAACATATATGCCATCAATCCTCATGTATTATTATGGACTGAACTCGTTTTAGTGAACAACGGGATTAAAATAAGTCAAACCCATGAATAGATTTTGAATATGTATATACAGTTAGGGAAACGTAGCGAAACAAATCGGAGATGGCATGTGAGCCAACTCGATTGAACCAAGCATCACTCAATATTTATATTCAGATAAAAATATATTACAGATATGTGATGAATAGTAGTATAAGCAATGCATTCACACATGATTATATAAAAACAGTCAAAGTTGATAAGCGAATAACTGATACGGTGAAAATGTGACTCAAGAAGAATGAGAAGCCGTGACCGATGAAGTTCAAACGGGTTCATTATGAGATTGTAACTCACTGAAGACAATAGTGAACGGTGGCGTAATTTTGTGAATTGGTTAAAGTTAGACATTAACACTGTTGGATACCTGCTCAATGTTCTGAATGTTAAGCATTCATGCGTGTGGCTGAAAGTCCTGGGTCCGAATCCCGTAAGATCGTGAATATACACTGCTGAGGAATCCCATACTAGAATGAAACGACCGTTCAGTACTTCCGGGTTTTCAATGGTAGTCTAATATTGATCGATTCATGATCTCGATCCCCCCAAAAAAGAACGATAATTAAATGTGTTGTAAATTTAAAGATATAATATGTCACTTGTAAATAATAAGATTTAGAATTTATGAGGCCGACTTTCAAATTCACAATAAAACATTATAAACTAGCTAAGACAGAATATTGTAAAGTCAATTGACCGAAATGATTGAAGATATTCAATTGATAATTTATTCAGTGAACAGATTTTTAAGTTCTAACTGATTAAATGTCAAATGACAGAATTAGTTAACTGAATCAAATGGAAATATTACGTAATGAAATTTTCTATTGTGTTATGTATGTTATGTATGAAGAAGAAGTGCCGATGAACTGGAAAGAAGGACACCTCATCAAGATTACAAAGAAAGGAGATCTGAGCAAATGTAAGAACTACAGAGGCATCATATTACTGTCAATACCAGGGAAAGTCTTTAACAGAGTTTTGCTGGACCGGATGAAGGATGCAGTAGACGTCCAACTTCGAGATCAACAAGCTGGATTCCGTAAGGATCGATCGTGCACAGACCAAATTGCGATACTACGGATCATCGTCGAACAATCAATTGAGTGGAACTCGTCACTGCACATCAACTTCACTGATTATGAAAAGGCATTTGACAGTGTAAATAGGAGGACATTATGGAAACTTCTTCGGCACTACGGAGTTCCTGAGAAGATTGTCAGTATAATCCGGAACTCATACGACGGACTACAGTGCAAAGCCGTGCATGAAGGACAGCTGACAGATGCATTCTAAGTAAGGACCGGAGTCAGAAAAGGCTGTCTATTCTCTTCGTTCCTCTTTCTTCTGGTGATCGATTGGATTATGAAGATCTCGACATCTGAGGGAAAACACGGCAGACAATGGACAGCTCAGAATCAATTAGACGATTTGGACTTCTCAGATGACCTAGCCCTCGTATCCAATACACACGAACAAATGCAAATAAAAACAGCCAGTGTAGCAGCAGTCTCTGCATCAGTAAGCCTCAACATACGTAAGGGGAAAACCAAGGTCCTCGAGTTTAAAACGGAGAACAGCAATCCAATAACTTTTGATGGTGAAACCCTGGAAGATGTAGAATCCTTCACGTAGATCCTTAGATTAGACTACTAGCTGAAACACTAGAATTGTTTCTTTTTAATAATTTTTAGCTGTAGACTGTTATTAAATGTAGATTAACCATTAAGACATATCTGACAATAGTTTCACGAAGATATTCAGTATAAATATATTCATTATCTTTTGAGGCATATTTTACCTCTAGAACAATAACTGATAATGTTGTCCGGTTGTATAAATCAAAGTAAGCGGTATTTAGAACAGATCAACATTTATTTTGAAGACAGAAGGTGTACATTGTTTTTGTATACTAAAATATAAGAATATAAGTAGACTAAAATATGAATACATTTAGTATAACACTTTTGGGATCAAGATGTTTTTATTTCTTGAGTTTACTGAATCTACGTACTAGAGTATCTTGAGCAATTGGCATAAAATTGTGAAATCAGTATTTTATTATCAGAATGAGGGTTGTGAAGAATGTAGTAACTAAAGTAGTTGAATTCATGAGTTGATATAAACTAGTCCACCATGGAAAACCTGGAAGCACTGGAAAACCGTTTCTTCCCAAAATTGGACTCTTCAGTAGTGGGCGTCCACGACCTCGCACGCGGGATTTGAACCCGAATGAATATGCTCACGAACGCTTAACCTCTAGACCATTGAGCCGGCATCCAATGGTGTCAATGTCTAACTTCCATACATCCGTGAATGGCTGAGCAACCACCTATCCATTGTAAAAGGTAGATACCTGTCTCTATATGACAAAAATTGAACTCCACTGGTCACAACTTCTCACTAGTACTCTAGGAAATCATCTTGTAGTCATACTAATCCTATAATAGAACAAAACGGCTGTTCAGAGCTTCCAGGTTTTTAATAGTGGTCTAGCTTACACTTATGAATTCAACTATTAACATCAGGATTTATCTATGAATATTCTGCTTCTATTGAAGTAAATTTATTCTAGTTACCGAACATTTGATGCGAGATTAATTATTATTTCTACACACTTTAATTATTTCTCCTTTTGAAATCTATAAAATCATTTAACCATAAAGCTAATTTAAAACATAAACATAAATGAAACCAGAAACAATTTAAACATAGTAAATATTTTATCAGAAGAGGTTTGTGGAGACTTTAGAAATTTCACAGATTGAAATCATGAGTCAGTTGAAGCTAGACCACTATGGAAAACCTGGAAGCACTGGATGACCGTTTCATCCTAGTATGGGACTCCTTAGCAGTGCGCACCCACGGTCCCACTCAGTGGTCTAGTTGGTTAAGCGCCTGGCGCGAGACTAATAGGTCCTGGATTCGAATCTCGTGGGGAGCGGGATCGTGGATGAGCGCTGCTGAGGAGTCCCATACTAGGATGAAATGGCCATCCAGTGCTTCCAGGTTTCCCATGGTGGTCTAGCTTCAATTGACTCATGATTTCAATCTGTGATAGTAAATATTTGTCTATATCATATCAAATGTTTTAAAATGAGAATATACTTATTGGCTTGAAGTGAATGAAAGACATTTCTTTTAAATCGATTTCAGTTTAGAAGACGAAGATTATCAGAACTATGTGATATATTAGCGCAATACATTTCGAACAATCTGGTCACACATATACTTGTTAAGAGCATTTATATATAAAAATAAAAGGTCAACTAGACAGGAAACGGGGTAAGAGGAGATAAGGATAATGATAAGAGTAATAATAATAATAATGTGAACACAATTTGAAACCTAATCACTCTGGATAATAAGTCAATAT